AAAGCTTGGTCACAACAGATCAGGGCTGAAGGCACGAAACAGGCTTCCGCTGGGCATCAATTCAGTCAAACACAAACTCATGGTCAAGCCGATTGTGGTCATATCTCGATGTGCTCCCGAAAGCAGGCCAACGAAATCAGCTGCGTCTCCGGACGGCATTTTTCATTAGACCACCAAAAGCTTCTCGCCTACCAAAGGCAGTGGTGCCCTAGAGGATGCAAACATCACATGCACGCAGCGCCCAAAGTACGTGGAGCCATCAACGCTTATCTCCATAACAGGCAACACAACTGCAGCCATGCACCCTTCAACAAACCCACAGTCTCTGAACTGTATTGAGTCAGATGTTCGTGGACAAACAGCGAAACCAATGTCCAGCTCCACTCCGTCAAGAGCGGCCTCTCTGCTTGTGGACACAACCATCACACAGGACCCCGACAACCTAAGCCATAAACATTACTACAGCCATCCGGAAACTCCCTCGTACATCCAATTAGCAAGGCTGATCGCCGGCGGATCGATATATCCACACAAACCCGAAAGAAGAGCGACCGCAGCCAAACAAGCCACATAAAATTCGCCAGATTAGAAAACTGCTGGGTGGCTTCAAGGTGTAGTCCTCCGCGAAAACGAGCCTCTTGGGAGCGCCACCAAAATCATTATTTCTTGGTGCCGCAACCCAGCGCCCGGGGCCTCACAGAGACACTTTTCCGGTCAAGCCGCGCCAAAATAACCAAGAATTCAGGAAGGCGAAAGATTGCCGCCAATCTCTGATCAACAGCAAATCTGATCGCCAAAGAGGGTTGCCGAATGAGATACGAACAGCAACAGTCGAAATTTTCGACCACGGGAGAAAACTGCGTCCGCCAAAGCCGAAAGGCCCGAGCAAACCGAGATCTCACGGAACGAAAAAAACCTCGCAAGCGAAAAGAATCCCCGGAAGTCGCAAAGAGAGGAAACAGACGATATTGCCCCAGAGACCCTTTGGAACCTTGGACTCCAACCCCGCGCGCAACTATTAAGCCTGCTAACATCTCTGGTCACTCAACTTTCGGCTCCTCACCCTCGGAGGCAGCAGAGACGGTGTTGAAATGTTTGTCCACAAGCTGCCTCACACTTTTCAACAAACCCGGCGATGATAAACAGTCAAACTGCCTTGAACAACCGTCCAAAATCGCACTCACAGAGACCTGACTCACGCCAGATGTCTCTGATGCAGAGATCTCGAAGGACGATTACCGTGTGAGCTGACTCAAAACGACGGCGGACATGTGGGGTTGCTCTGTGCTTACATGCGGCCCCACCAATCCCCATTGTCCTCTTTGACACCATCCCCGGACCCTGTTGCGCTGCACTGTGGGTCCAAATCCCGCTGCGCGGATCCGATTATCTCCTTCTCGGCGTGGTCTACCGTAGCCACTCAATTGCACCTGAAGATGACCGATTCCTCATAAAAACCCTTGAGCAACTCTCCGCCAAATACCACTTCACTCATCTCCTGCTGATAAGTGACTTCAACGCCCCAAAGTTCTCCTTGATTGAGCTCCAGCGCGTCGACTCAGGCGGACTTTTTGCAGCGGCGCTCATTGAAGTCGTTCAACAGAACGCTTGGCTCAACATTTCGTTGCACCCACCAGATCCCGCGTAGGGCAACTACCATCCATCCTGGATTTGGTAATCACGAACGAAAGACACTTCGTTGATCAGGTAACAATTAACGCTCGACTGAAACATAGCGTCTACTGTGTGCTGACTTTTGATTTCATCTGCTATTGGGCCAGAAATCCCGAAACTCAATCGTGGTTTCGAGATTTCTGCCGTGCAGACTTCTCAGGAATGCGCATCTTTCTTGAACAAGTCACACTGAGACCAGCTCCGGTGGAAGAAATATATAGGAAAATCGTCCAAAAAATTTCACGAGGCTGACGCAACGTTCGTCCCAAAAAACTAAGCACGCACTCGGATGAACCGCAGGCTGCCAAAAAGGGTTCGGCGACTTTAGGAAAAAAGATCCCAAATCTTTTTCAAAAAGGTGACTACAGGGGATACGGCAGATGAGCTGGCAGTTCGTAAAATGCGGAACCATTGTAAATGAGAAATTTACGGTTGGAACATGCAAAAACAAGCCACTGTTCTGGACCTCGCTGAAAAAAAAAACAAAAACGTACTGTTCAAATACATGAGACATCGCCGTAGAAACAAGCCATCCGCGTTTTCCTCTAGGGACAGAAACGGAGAACCGACGAATGACCCAACAGTGGTATCTGAGGTCTACAGAGAACACTAT